GCAACCTCCGTTTCCTGGGTTCAAGCAATTCTACCTCTGCCTCCTGAGTAGCTGGGATTACAGGAAACTGTCACCACGCCTGGCTAATTTCTGCATTTTTAGTACAGACGGGGTTTCACCACATTGGTCAGGATGGTCTAGAACTCCTGACCTCAGGTGATCTGCCTGCCTCGGCCTCCCAAAATGCTGAGAAAACAGCTATGAGCCACCGCACCCTTATCCCTTTTACTTAGTTTTTAAACAATGCAATTATAACCTTTACTTTCTCTCTACCAGGCACAGCAAGGTTATCTAACTATGTGTTTACTTAGAAGTTCCACAGATGGAACCTTGAAGCAAATCAGGTCTCTGGAACTCTCTTCCACCAGGAGATTGCTTCAATTTACAGCTTATCTCTGCCTGCGATGGCTCCAGCCAGACCACCCAATAGATAAAACATTCGAAGCAAGTCCCGTAGACCCCACACCTCATTGTTTCCTCCCCTACATGCCATTCATGCCAAGCCCTCCTTTTAAAAGCCCCTGTCTTCTGCCTGAAGACTGAGGTGGTGCCCTCAAGGCAGGAGCCTGTACTGACTCCCCTCAGCTAGCTCTGAAATAGTGTCACCTTCTACCAGGACTCACTCCTTTTAACTGGACTCCGCAAGCAGTGAGCGACTGGAGTTGCACTCCATTACAATATGATGGTTCAGCTTATAATTTTTTGACTTTATAATGGTGCAAAAGATATATGCATTTAGTAGAAACTGTACTTTAAATTTTGAATTTTGATTCAAAATTCTTTATTATAAAATGGGCTTTGTGTTAGAAGATCTCACCCAATTTTAGGCTAATGTAAGTGTTCCACGCACTTTTAAGGTAGTCTGGGCTAAGCAATGATATTTGGTAGGTTAGTTGAATCAAATGCATTTTTGACTTATGATATTTTCAATTTATGATGGGTTTATTTGGATTGTAACTCCATTGTAAGTTGAGGAATATGTATACACACACACACTATATGTATGTGTATGTAGTGTGTGTGTATGTGTGTGTGTGTGTACGGAGGAAGGTTATCTAAAATATCTTGAGATGTTACAGTAATTTTTTTCTTTTGAGAGAAGTTTTTATTTCCCAAACATTATGTAATAACATTACACTCTGTTTTCATGTATTACTTTTTAAATCAGAGAATTTGCTTTTTTAAAAATATGTAACGACTTCCACTTTAGTGAATTAAGGTAACAACGTGAGACTAAGTTTTTTAAAAATAGATATTTGCTTCATTGTTTAAACATTAGGGATCCTTAAATATAATAAAATTGCTTGTTGTTAAAACCGCTAAAGCATTTCTCCATTTTTCTAACTTGTTTTCATTTCTATTATTCACTACCAAACAATCTAGATTTTTCCTTTTTCAAAGACATTTGGGAGGGATTGGGCTAGAATGTGTGTTATATTCCCGGTTGTTTTCTCTTAGAGTATTTGGTTAATTCTGGCCAAGATGGACATTCAGTAACCACTATTTTTTAACCAAACACACAAAAAAATTAAAATTCTTTAGGAGGGGAGCCCAGGAAATTAGGACTTGACTTTCAGATATTATACTCCAATAAGAACCAAAAATAATTTCTTTTACGTCTTGTAAATTATTTTAGTAACTTTTGTGGATCAACCCAGTATGAGTATAGCATCTCTGAAGAGCATGCGATTCAAATGTTGAAAGTAAACGACCTCCTAAGTTGCCCAACCTTTTCTTTGTAGCTACAGCATCTAAAATGAGCTCTTCTTTTGTTTCACACCTGTGGATGATGCCATGACTGCATAAAAGTAGTGCTTAAGTTCAAATTTAGATGAAATTTAGCTTTCCTTTTTTTTTTTTTAAATAGGGCCTCCCTATCTGCCCTAGGCTGGCCTTAAACTTCACTCCTGGGCTCAAGCAATCCTCCAACATCAGCCTCCTGAGTAACTGAGACAACAGGCATGCCCTGTGCCCAGCTAGCTCTCCTTTTTAAGACCATTTAAGCCCAGTTCGTGAGGTTATGAAAGAAAAAGAGAAATCAGAAGGTAGAACAAAGTAACCATCAGAGAGTGTCTACAAAAAATTATTACTTCATGCACTCGCAGAGTCAAACCACTTACATTTTAGAAAAATAAACATACCGCTAAGTGCCATCAACAATGAGTTTTTACTATACCCTAAACTGAAGCCAACATCTTGATCTTAATGGTTCTTCAACTTCAGGATTTTTCATAATTTTAATCCAACTCAGATGACCAGTTGTTCATGTTATTCCTAGTCTGGGACCTCCCTGTGCTTTAGTATCTGGCTGTTCATAGACATTTTTGGTTCCCGTTTGGGTGGCGTTTTGAACTCAAAAACTGATGATGACCTATGTTTTAAAAAGTCCCATATTGCTAATGTCTGAATCAGCAGTAAATACATAATTTTAATTTAGTCCGGTTTTGTTTGTTCGTTTTACAGGTTTTCAAATTTCCCAGTGATTTGTAGACTTGTTAGAACCGTTTTTAAATACCAGCTCAGCCCAGCCCTGTTGTGTTAAAGATGACATCTGAAACCACAAATCATTTCACTGTGGTAACCAGAAGGCTTGACTTTGAGTTTAACAATTAACAACTGATAGAAGGACTTGCGTTGACAAGCAGTTTGCCAACACATGACAATGTGATGACACAGCCCTATCACCATCTAAAAACACTTTTCCATGAACAATATTCCATAAACCAGCAGTCTGATTATTTTCTTAATGAATTAATGTTTATTTTAATCTTTGGAGGAATTTTTATTTATTTCTACTTAAGAAAACTACAGAACATATAATAGTATGTTCTCATTAACCTTTCCGTGTTTTTTTATTTTGTGCTGATTATGTTCTCAAATGGAATGAGAAACTAGTAAAATATTACAGTTGTTTGATAATAAACATTATTTTTAAAGTTGAAAAATAGTGGCATGTATTTATTTTCATTTTTCATTGAAAAGGTTTTTTTTTTTTTAATGGGTGAGGTAATATTGTAATGATCCTAAAAGAAAGGCCTTCATCTTATCCTTCATTTCATTTCCATAGAGACTAGCATGGTATCCCATGTGGCTGATGCTCAATTAATATATTCATTAAATTGATAGATAAAAAAGCTTCTTCTAGTTTGAAATGATAACATTTCTACAAATTTGTGAAAATCTGTAAGAACAGTTAGCCTCCTCGATTCTTTTTCTCCACTTTCAAATGTTTAATAAAATGTCATTTGTTTTCCAGCTTCTTAAGCACTTCTTATTTATTATCTAATGAGATTTTAATATATTATGAAAATTTATTTGTAAAAACAAATGCTTTCTAATAAACTAACTTTTATAGGTTTAGTAGATGAATCAAACTTTTTTGGATAATTTTTCACTCAGTCTCAAAATTAAATATTATGATACATGGAAGCAACTTAAAATAAATTGTTGCTTTGCATTCCTGATTGAGCACAAATCTAATCCTGAACTCACTGGAAACAATCTATTTGAAAGGGTATATTTGGCAGTATTTTGTTTGGATAAAAGCATATAGTAAATTTCCCTCAAATGATCATGTATATGCTGTAGGCTTTTCTGATTTTTTCTAAGGCACTGGCTACTCCAGATTATAGCATTTTACTCATATGTTAGAATACCCATTTCGTATTCACCCTAAAGCTGTATTCATGCTCCTTCTCTTTGTCTTTATATGTTTCTGACCTGAGCATCATTTTCTTTCTGACTCTTAGTCACTCCAATTAACTTGCATTTCCAATCATTTATTTAAAGAAGTCCAATAAATCCAAAGATCATGGCCTATATTGCTCTACCCATTTGCTTCTGCAGGGGACCAAAGATGGCACTTTGATTTCACCATACTGAATGTGTGATGTTCTGAAAGGAATAATAGGGTAGAGGCCCCTACAACTATTTTCCTGAGTGGTTGGACCAAGAGTACTTCTATTATTCAAACTTAAAATTAAAAATTGAGAGACTTGAAATTGGCCTACTGCAGCCCTAGTTTTCTTGGGCACTCCCTGAGGTGTAGGAACCAAACAGCTCAGCTTTTAAGAAAATATCTGAGAATGGAAAGGGTGGAGGTCATAAGTAGACAGGGATGGTGGTCAAGAACACTGAGTTTTGAGTTATTGGCCTGGGTTCAAATCATGGTATCATTTATAAACTATATGACCATATACAAGTATTTAACTTCTCAGTGTATCAGATTATTCCTATGTAAAATGGAAAGCAAGCTTTCTGACAGCAAGGATTAAATGAGATAATGCCTTTTAAACCTAGAATGCAGTAATCCCTGTTTGTGCTAGCCATTACAGTCGTTGCGTTCCAATGTAATTCTTCTACCTCTGTCTGGATCTGTAGGGAATTTATGCAGGACTACATATTCGTTGAGAGGTCTTGCCAGTGTGTTTAAATTCCAACCATGGGGCTCAATTCTGTGGTTGTGCTATAGCACCTCCAAGTCTTCTAGCTTGGTTTTGGTCCAATATCGTGGGCTTCACGTAGACACAAGATATCTTTCTGTAGTTACTCTAGAGAAAATGCAGTTTATACTATACCAGGATGTAGTAAACATTCTAGAAGCAGTACTAAGTTTCTCTTTATGGAAGTAAACATGCCATCTTGATACACTTATTATTTGAAGAAGTAAAAGTAGCTAGTTTCTTACAGAAGGAAAAAAAAAACATTTTTGCTAAGTGAAGTAAAAAATGTACTACTCTCTGCTTCTTCCCACAGTATCCATAAATATGCGGAGGCCGTTTATTTTGCCAGATGGGTTTTGAGACCCTGCTGAAACAAGAGATGCTGTCATTTATATTTCCCTCAAATTCTACCACAAACCACACTTGGGAGGGAAAAGAAAAAGTCGCCATGTAAGCATGTTTACCTTCAAGTGACTAGGAAGTGGAAACCTATCCATAAGTGATGACTCACCATTGCAGGCCTATAAAAGTAAAGGTATTCTCTGCGGAAGGACAACAGTCACCAGGCATCACCATTCAAGATGCATCCAGGGGTCCTGGCTGCCTTCCTCTTCTTGAGCTGGACTCATTGTCGGGCTCTGCCCCTCCCCAGTGGTGGCGATGAAGATGATTTGTCTGAGGAAGACCTCCAGTTTGCAGAGGTAGAGTATCTTGCCAATCCTGATGATGCGGTTGGTACATCTCAGAAATGTCCTTCTCTTTGAAACGCGGTTCATTTTGGTCTCTTTTCTAGCGCTACTTGAGATCGTACTACTATCCTACAAATCTCGCGGGAATCCTGAAGGAGAATGCAGCAAGCTCCATGACTGACAGGCTCCGGGAAATGCAGTCTTTTTTCGGCTTAGAGGTGACTGGAAAACTTGACGATAACACCTTAGATGTCATGAAAAAACCAAGATGCGGGGTTCCTGATGTGGGTGAATACAACGTTTTCCCTCGAACTCTCAAATGGTCCAAAATGAATTTAACCTACAGGTAATTATAGACTATCTTTCTTTCATATTTGTTAGCCTTTTCTTGTTGTATTAAATGTCTAATATTAAGTAGGCATTACTATTTAATAGGCAGTTAAATTCCAGAATAGCTTTAATGTGGTTGCCGAGATTGCCTCATAACATCTATTATTGTCACAGTAACCCAGCATGATTTTTTAGTGGGCATCTCAAAGTATTTCTTTTAGAAATGAAATCAAAAGAGAAATAAAAGTAGATTAAAGAAAATTTGCAAACGTAGTGCATTAGGTGTATTTATCACAATGGTTCTAAAGATGAAGAGTTCCACTCTTTCTAGAAACTTTACAGAGCTATTTCATTTATTTGGGCTTTATCAATGTAATTCAAACTTTTAGCATGCAAAATAAATTATATTAAACTTTGGAAAAATTTTAATTTCAGGTGCCACATGGTCAGATATTCGGAGATACTCAAATGTCTGAATTTTTGACTTTTTATTCTTGTATGGCATCATAATTAATACATTCTTTGAAACAATAAACCTCTAGTAGAACTTTCAAAGAAATTATTGCATTTTGAATTGAAGAGCAATATACCAAGAAAATGTATTCTAAAATAGCTGTCACTTTCCAAAAACTTAATTGAAACTTTCTTTGTTAAATAGAATTGTGAATTACACCCCTGATATGACTCATTCTGAAGTTGAAAAGGCATTCAAAAAAGCCTTCAAAGTTTGGTCCGATGTAACTCCTCTGAATTTTACCAGACTTCACGATGGCATTGCTGACATCATGATCTCTTTTGGAACTAAGGGTAATGATGCACATTTATTTTTAAAACATTTTTATATTCTAATTCTTAGTTGGTTCCATTTTAAAATTATTTCTTTCAGTCATTCATTACTTTTTAAAGCATTCAACACCAATTTACCAAACACCTGTGCTAAGTACTCCTGGATGTGATAAGACTCCTAACCCTTGCTTTTGTATGTAGAGCATGGCGATTTCTACCCATTTGATGGGCCCTCTGGCCTGCTGGCTCACGCTTTTCCTCCTGGGCCAAATTATGGAGGAGATGCCCATTTTGATGATGATGAAACCTGGACAAGTAGTTCCAAAGGTAATGTTTCTTATAAAGATATCATTTATGTGTTGTTAGATTAGACAGTGAACACACTGGTATGGAAGTTAAAACACATAAAAGTTAAATATATTTGGTATTTGACTATATTTTCTTAAATAAAGTTTATCTTAGACATATTAGTGTCTCTACAAGTGACATTTCTACAAATTGATATTCAACATTAAAAAATGAACAAAATCTACTTAATCTGTCACTGTGGCTTGAGGGATACTAATGAACTCTGAAGTAGGACCAAAATGTTTATGTTTGTCAGCCAATATGTTATTACTGCAAATTACCTTTTGGCATGTTGAAGAAGTACAGTTTATTATAAATATATAACTAAAAACTACCAGGGTTGGATCTATGGGTCATACATGAATTAGATGTGAAATGAAATAATTTTTTCCTTGGTAGAAATATGTTCAATCAAATTTCTGTTTCCCATTATATGAGTTGCTTGATTCAGTCTTGTCTGTATATGATAAACACCATTCTTAAAAATCTAGACAGAGTCTTACCCCAAACAGCATGAAACAGACAAGGTGGCAGTTGTTTTTACAAGAGCAAAATGAAATTGCATGTTGAATGAAATCAGTTAGTAGTTGAATCTTCAAGTCTCAAAATAAGTGGGAATGTTAATTTAGGAAGAAAAGCCATAGATTGTTCTAACTAGGACTTAGTTATGACAAGTAGAGGTTGTCTTCATAGACAGCTGATTTTATTATTCATTTAAACAAGAAAGATTATTTTTCCAAAGAATAAAACTGGGCCTTACATGTTCAGTGTCTCAGCTCTAATACCTAGAATCTGTCTGTGGAGGGAAAAGTGAAAATTTACATATTTATGTTCTGGATATTTCAGAGGTAAGAACGGTTTCAGGAAGAAGGAATAAGATCCAGCATTGTTAAGGCAGAATCACAATAAGCCTCAAATGTAGGTTCCTTTGTAAATTCTGGGTTTGAAATACTTAACTGAAATGAATGAAAACATCCACAAACCAGTCTGGATTCATTTTTCAGTGGAAGGCCAAGAGCAGTACCCATTACTAGTCATTCGACGAAGAATTGGCACTCAGATTATGCGACCTCTAGTTGCTCTTATGGTCTGCAAGATTTGCTAGGTTGGTTCATTTTCTTCGTGTACAGACTGCAATAGCAAAGGAAATTTAAGGTCAAATGGGATCCACTGGCACTAGTTTTCAGGTAATCTAAGCACAAGTAACAACAATCCTATTGCCTTACACTTCTTATTTTTCTTTTAGTGTTTTATTCTCTTTTTTCCAGTTTGAAATACCTGTATTAGGAGGCTCAAAATTGGCAGACAGAATGCTTAGAGGGAACAATGTAAATACAGTGACATAGTGGTCTTCTAGAGTAAAGATGGCTAATCATGTCTAGAGTTTCTGTTTCTTCAAACCCCAGAGTCTAGAGACGTTCTAGAAAGAATCATTTGGTTGGAATTTGCTCCCAAGAGTATACACAGAGAATCTATTTAGTGCATCCTCCATCCTTGGTATGGTCCCTTTGGGTGCTGCCTCCTGACTGGAGGATGTTCTGGGCAGAACCCTAGCTAGGTACCACCCTATGTGATTTCCCCACTCCTCGTTTAAGGTAATCTCTGTCCACTTCCCTCACCTGACCTGAGAATACTAAGAGCAAATCAGGAGTCCTAGTGTCTTCATGGTAAATCCTTATTAGTTACTAATTACATGAGAGTAATCTGTTGACATTCTAATTGTGTAGGCAGCTATAATCAAAAGAACACTAAATTATTTATAAGAATTAAATCAATACTTTGAATCTTCCTTCAAGCAACTGAATACTGATATTAAAAAGTAAGAGAGTGAAGAAAGAGAAAAGAAAGAGCATATAGCGAAGAAAGAAACATACCAAATAGATAAAATGATACTCCTTTCATTACCTGGTCACTGGAATTCCTTTTTTTTCTCATTGTTTCTTTATTTTCTTACAGGTTACAACTTGTTTCTTGTTGCTGCCCATGAGTTCGGCCACTCCTTAGGTCTTGACCACTCCAAGGATCCTGGAGCACTCATGTTTCCCATCTACACCTACACCGGCAAAAGCCACTTTGTGCTTCCTGATGACGATGTACAAGGGATCCAATCTCTCTATGGTAACTCAGTTATAGAAATAGAATATGATTGGTTATAAAAGCAGAAGAAATCCATGCATTTATTTTCTAAATAGCAGTCATGCTGCATAATGATGTTTTGGTACAGTGAAGTGCATGTATGACAAAGGTTTCATAATACTATAATACTGTATTTTTAATGTACCTTTCTTATGTTTAGATACACTTAATACTCACCATTGTGTTATGAGTGCCTGCAGTACTCAGTACAGTAATATGCTGGACAGGTTTGTAGCTTAGGAGCAATAGGCTGTACCATATAGCGTGTATGTGTAGTAGGCTATATATCTAGGTTTGTGTAAGTATACACTACGATGTTCACCCAATGACAAAATCTCCTAACAACACATTTTTCAGAATGTATCCTTGTTGTTAAGCGACACATGACTCTACTAACTGAATTCACCACTGCCAATGCTGCTTTCTTGGTTTTGTTACTAAAACCTAGGAAAACACACCCATTTTTTCTTTCCAAATCTAACTACCCACTCAAATAGAAAATACTTCATTCTCCAATTTTTTGCAGACTATAACTCCCTGTGTCTGTATTTTATACATTGCAATGTGCATTTGATACCCTCAAAACACCTCTGCAATAAGAAAGAAAAATATTTTATTCCCCATTTAAGCAATGAAGAAACAAAGCCATGTAGAGTTTAAGTAGCATACCTATAGTAATATGGTTGGTGGTGAAAGTGAGTTACTAAAGCTTTTAGAAATTCCAAGTACTCTTTCAACCAGTCCAATTTGGCACAGTAGAAACCTCTCAAGTGGCCTGTGGTAGTTTTTAATCAACATCTACAATAACCATTGTAAAAAAAAAATTCTTCCTTTTCACTTACCCCCCAAATTTTCAATAATATTTACAAAATAATTAAACCTCAACCCAAATATTTATTTATAGATGACCTGTTATAAATAGAGTTAAAGCCACAGTGCACAATCATCAGTGTAAACATTTCTAGAGCACATAGTTCAGCAAACTTGCTCACATCACCCCAGCCATTCTTTTCCCTTCTAAATTTGAATCTGTCACAGTAACTAGCATAGCCATGGGCATGAACTTGAAGATGGCAAAGGGAATTTGCAAATTTATTTTGCAGTTATTATTTCTACATTATTATGACTCAGGGACTGATGAAAGAACTAATATAAACTAGACAGAAAAAAAATCCAGTGTAGGATTATTATTGTGTACTGCACTCCCATCCCGTCTGCACTCATGGGAGCTGGTTGGAAAGTTACCAACATTTGGCAAGTCACATAAGTGCTGAAGGCCTGACTTGTCGCAGCTGAGATACAGCTGCACCATGGCAAACTGGTGAAGCAACATTATCTGATGTTGATAGCTGGTAAAATAGTCAAGAGGAGGAGGCAAGATGAGGGCTTTCGTAGGAGAAATACGCCATCAAAAATGGCTTTGAGGGGAGTCTAGTTTTCAAGAGCAGTCTGTCACTAGATTGTGCTAGGTGTAGGGAAAATTTCTTCAAAGTCTGTTGCTTTTTTTCCCTCATTTTTATCATCAACCTCAGGAAACCTAAGTTTATAGTTCTAAAGAATCTCGAGAGGTCTTGAAGGATGGAAGTAGAGGGGAGGAAGGAAGGAAGATTACATGGTACTTGCACCATAATGTAGAAGCCCCAGGACCTACTGCTTTTCCTGGAGAAAACCCTCTCTCACTGTCCATCAGCAGATCAGCCTGTTGTGCTGTGACCCAGGTTTTCAGTAATGTCACATTCATAACTTCTCTCTTGCCTTTCACAACTGCAGGTCCAGGAGATGAAGACCCCAACCCTAAACATCCAAAAACGCCAGACAAATGTGATCCCTCCTTATCCCTTGATGCCATTACCAGTCTCCGAGGAGAAACAATGATCTTTAAAGACAGGTACTCTTGAGATTCTTTCATAAAGTTTGTATGCGACAAACATCTGTGAAGCTGTTTCTGCATATCGCCAAAACATGCTGTCAGACTTCCTAAGGCGAAGTTAACAGTAAAAATGGGCAGGCAGCTTACTTCCATATTTCAGATCAAATAAATGACTGATGGATAAATGTTTCACTTTTCAGTGTACAACCTTGGCATTGTGTAGCTTGTTTTTACATCTCTAGTTATAGTCTTTCTTGTAAATATAACCAAGAAAATCTAGAAATCCAATTTATTTTAAAAACAGACAAGCATTGAAAGTAATAGATGTATTAATAAATGGTTACTCGTTAGGCCCACGTGGATTCGTTTTGGCATGGAAAGACTTTGATTCTGGATACATATGTTGGAATTCGAGAGATAGAATGAAATGAACCTAGAAATGCAATATAAAATTTTAATTTCTACATTGTTCTAGTATGCATATTTGTTCAGTCATTCATTCATTGATCCCTCATCTGTGATCCAATAGCATGTTTACCGCCTCTATTATAACTCTAACTACAATTGTACTCATGGGACAGGGTGTGGTTCTCATGTATCAGTTTTCCCAGGCCAGGAGACCATGGAAGACATAGTTCATGTAACTCATATCTTCTTTCTGGAGCCCAACACAATGCCTGGCAAATTTGCTTGCCCCTAGCAAGATACCCAAAATTGAGCAAGACAATTTCAACCCACAAAGAACTTAGAGACCTCGCAAAGGCTCTGCGAGATTTCAAAGTTGAATACCTTACGCTAGTTAGGATAGCACAGCTTGTCACTGGAACTGAAAGGGTAATGGAATTTTTTCCCCTTCACAGGTGGGAGGTATTGGTTGTATCTAACTTATCTGTGTTATTGTGGAGAGAAGTGACTAGCAGGATAGAAATATAGCACTTAAAAATGTGACAGAAAACTCCATTTTACTTTTGTGTTAGATTCTTCTGGCGCCTGCATCCTCAGCAGGTTGATGCAGAGCTGTTTTTAACGAAATCATTTTGGCCAGAACTTCCCAACCGTATTGATGCTGCCTATGAGCATCCTTCTCATGACCTCATCTTGATCTTCAGAGGTAAGCTTTCCACAGAGGAGGCCTCACACAGGACCAGGGGAGGCAGTGCTGAACTTGATGCCAATAGAGATTCAGTAAAATGATCACCACTGAAAATATGCCTAAATTAAAGACCAAGTATTAAAAAAACGGAAGCCAGAAAGTACCTGAAACCATTCTACCATGAATCTCCAAATTGAACATATAAAAGGTCTACATTGTTAGACTTGTCATATCCACTCTTTCTTTCATATGAATCATGTCAGTTTTTTCTCTTAGTTCCTCTTAAAAATTGTTTATTGAGAAAACATTATAACAATATATATTCTGAAAAAGTGGAAAAAATATTCTGAATCATTCTTCCTTCTGAATAGTCAGTTGATTTCATTTGTTCATTTTCATTATGTAATACATATTTTAAAATATTTATTTTCATAGTACAGATACATTTTTATGTTCTACTGCTTTCCTTGACATAAAATTATGACCAATTTCCAAATTGCTACTTTGCCTTTATGACCATAATTTAAAATGACTACATAACTTTCTGCTGACACTGTTTCTATTGTTCAACTATTTATAATATTAATGTTATAATAAATCTACTTTTCAGAGAAGAAAATAACTTTCAAACTGGTATAAAATTTGAGTTTTCAATCTAATTAACCCTTCCTACTGTGTTGTTTATTCATGTAGAAATTTTAATGTTTTTTTTAACCTAGCTTTAAACTTAATATTCAGAACCAATAAATTGCTAAGTTAATTGTGATATTTGATTAGCTATATTCATAACTGGGAAATTAAGATCCTAAATTTTATTTTTTTGTTTCAAGAATCCTTATATTTTTATGTTTCATAAACATGATGACTGTAAATACTAAATATTTTATTAATATTTCTAAATGTATAAATGGGCCTGCCCTTAAGCACATGTCTACCTAGGTAAGTCTTAATAGATTTCCCTGGATAATAAAACTGT